TAACACATACTTTTTATATTCTCATTTTGTAGCTAGAAAACTGAGGTCCAGAAAGGCTAAGTAACTCACTTAAATTCACACAGGTAGCATATGATAGAGCCAGAAAGTCTGGCTTTTTAAATCACTAGTTATCTCCTAATATTCCATAATAGCTTCACTTGCATGGTGCTTTGTATTTTATAAAACATGTTCAGATAACCAGCCGGTGGAGTTGAGTAGGGCAGGGTTACTATTCTCACAAGGAGAGAAAAGTGGTACAGCTGGAACCGTGGGTGTCTTTAGGTGGAAGTATTTCTGTTCACAAATATCCTAGGTGCCTCTATGCACAGGAAGCCTCTCAACATAAATACACTGAGTGTATATATATATATATATATATATATATATATATATATATATAATTTTTTTAAATATATTTTATTGAGTTTGTACAGAGTGGAAGGGAGAGAGATAGAGAGCTAGAAACATCGATGAGAGAAAGTCATCGATCAGCTGCCTCTTGCACACCCCCTACTGGGGATATGCCTGCAACCAAGGTATATGCCCTTGACTGGAATCGAACCCGGGTCCCTTCAGTCCCCAAGCCAACGCTCTATCCATTGAGCCAAACTGGTCTCGGCAGCACTAAGTACATATAATATGTCACACTCAAACACCAGGGCTGAAGTATAGTGACAGGCCTTCCCTGGAAGCATCACAGCCCAGTGGGAGACACAGTATGGAAACCAAGAATCATGGTACACAATGTGTGTGGGGAGATGGGAAGAGAGGGCCTATGGGGCAGAGAAGGAAGGGCCATTTGTGCCAGGAGGTCTGAGGGGTGGCAGCAGGGGACAGAGAGGCCTTCTGGAAGAGAGAATGCACGTGTGAGTGTGAGTCCATGCCTGTGACCATGACAGTGTGTCCAGGCCTGACTGTATGTGGGTCTGAGTGTGTACCTGTTTGCAAAGGCTTCCTCATGTATGAACTTATGCACCCGCAGGTTGTAAGTGCGGAATCAGAAAGTGTGAATGGCAGAGAGAATGTGTCTAGATGCACACACACCATAGTAGACTCCAACCTGTCCTGGGATGTCCCCCTCATTGTCCTCCCTCCCCCCCAACAGCAGGGTAAACACAGATACCAGTCACTTTCCACTATAACAGTTGCTATGTGGACTATATATATATATTTTTTTTTTTTTTTTAAGTCCCCCTGTGCTGGGGTGCAGTGGAGGTGAAGCTGGAAAGTGCTGGTGTCCATTTTTGGTGGAGGCACCCATTGCTCTCATCCCACCCCTTGCTGGTCCAGGAATCCCCCGTAGAATGAAAAATGTGGGCAAAGGCGCACAGGACTGGTGGCAGCCATGAGGGTCACTCCCAGGGGCAGCCTAACCAACCCCCTCCCCTGATGACAAAGCCTGTGTTTCGGACAAAACTGAGCTTGGAGGGCAAGTAAGGGCTCCTCTTTCCACCAAAGTTCCCCCAGGGACTGGGGAGGGAGGGCAGTAGTGAACAATAATACTCTATTTCTTTCATGCTTGCACTATCAAAAAAAAAAGCTAAAATAATTGCAAATAATATGTAATTGATGGTGGCTCACAGTGACAAAATAATTGAACTAGATTTCCCCTTTTGTTATAAGGCAGATAAATTCAGAGGCATGGGGTCGGGTGAGGCAAAGGCATTACGTGCTGGAATACACTGGTGATTTGTATGTGTGTACATCCTGGCCCAATGCACTGCCACACAGCGAAAGTCAGAGATGAAAATAAGCAAGAATGAGCTGCATAATCAACACATGGGGAATGCCACAGTTTAAGCTGAATGAATGAGATGGTGAAGAGGAAAACAAACATTCAGAGAGTCCAATGGTCTCCAATAGTGATCCCTGCCATTAAAATGCATGGATTCTGTTCCCAGCTCCACCTATGACAAGCTATTGAAAGGCTGTTGTTGTTGTTTATCATATATTGGAAAATTAGTCCAGTGGCAAGATATCTCTGAAAAATGGGAAGCTTAATCAAGCCTTGTTGAGGTATTCTTTAAAATGATCATTAAAAAGGGTGGCTAGTGCATATCTGAATATGTTTATTGCAGTACCACACAGAGTGTATATATTTCCATGTCTGGACACACGTATTTTCCTACACATTGCAGGAAGATGCTGGTTTCATAATATGCCAGGGTAATTTCCCCATAGTCAATATGTTGTTTACGTGCATCAATAGTCAGAAAAAGAGAAACAGCCTGATTATGGCCACATATTCTGCTTAGAGGCTAAAGTTTCTATCATGGACTGCTTTCAACGGTTATATTTTATGGCACAGATTCAGTGGGAATCCGATCTGCTAAAATATTTGGGCTGTGAAAACTCCAACACTGTGACAGATGTCAAGTCCAATTAAGTGACTCATGTCCAGGTTTCTGTCCAATAGGATTTCCCATTAAATATCAATTTAGGGGGGAAAAAAAATTCCATCCCCCTTCGTAAGCCTTTATCTCTCCCACCATCTCCAGGCTGAATCAATTGGTACCAGGAGAGCTAAGAAGCCACGCGCGCATCTCTGTCTCTTTGCTGGGCTCTGCCACCCTCTCCCGTCTTTCTCAGCTTCCCTGCCACTGTTTCTACTGGAGGCGTTCACTTTCCGCCACCCTTTCTCCAGGCATCTCCACGCCACTGACTATGTCTATTTTGCTACAAGGTAAAGAAAGGAGGGGGTTGGGGGTGGGAGATGTAACCAAGCCTTGAAAGACTTTGAAACTGGAAATAGGTGTCTGTTTATACAACATCCAAGTAAATGCGGGAAGAGGAAGAGACACGCTTAGCCCCGAGTTATAGTATTGTGTTCCTGGGAACTGGGGAGACGTCAGCTGAACAAAGCCTTATCTCAAAAAAAAAAAAAAAAAAAAAAAATCACTTCTGAGCCAGATCGCATCTCTGCCTTGTACTTCCCAGTTTCTGCTCAGCCCTATGGAGGGGAGGAAAAGGAATCCTACAGGAGCCGTATCTTATCTTAACCATCTTTCTTATCGATTCTTCCGCTATTAGAAAGTGGAGGAATCAGCCCTTTGATGTGACCGTGTTTATCTCTGCATCTCTTTTGTTATTTATAGAGACCTAGAAGAGGAAAAAAGGCGGGCGACTTTTCAACACCTCCTGTGGTTTTTTGGGGAGAAGAAAAAAAAATCAACAACAGATTTCCCGAAATGTTTGCGAACAATTAAAAGGCAAAGGCGTTTTGATCTATCAGCTAAGTAAACAATCACTGATCCACATCCTGATATTATCGTCCCTCGGTGTGGGCACCGGCAAGATGACAGCTGCTTTTTCATATTTGAATGTAATAAATATTTTCTGCTTTTAATATATTTCGGGGTCCCTCCCCTGTATTCCCTGGAATTTTAACTCTAAAAGATTGGAGAAAAGATTATCGAAAAGGCTTTTACAAGGTAAGACTCCTTTAAATGATTTTTTTCCCCAGTGTGGAACTAAGTTAGTTTACTTAACATTTGCCTGAAATGACAGATGCATTTCAGGCAAATGTTAAATAAAATATACACACGACGTATTTATGCATATTAAAAAAAAGAGAGAGATCTGGAGGAGAATTTATCATGCTTTGAGGGCAATCCAGGAACTTTCTGCCTGAGCTACAACTGCACTGGCTTGTTCTGATTTTCTGGCTTATTTATTTATACCCTTTCAAGCGGAGCATAGGTGCAAGTTGCTCTACTTATAAATGTATCCGTTAAAAGCCCGCAGGGAATCACATGCAGTTCACTTGGAGGTTTGTTTTTATTTTGCCTTGGAGGATTTGTTTTTCTCGCAGGGAAATGAAAGCCGCCTTGAAGCCAAATTCGCTCCTAAGCCAGCGCGGTGCTAGGAGCGGATCGCGCATCCTCGCTTTTGTCTCTGGGAAGCAACCCGGGCGCCCATGCGGGTTTCCCAGGTCGCCCGGCTGCACGGGCTGCACGGGCAGGGCCCCGGGCGCCCGCAGCAGTTGCGCTTGGTACCTGCAGGTGCAGGCCCCTTTCTAGACCCGAATTTCCCCTGGAGCCCAGCGATCATGGCTCGCTCCCTCCCCAAAGGCGCGCAGTAGGCCAACTCTAGACTCCGGAGGAGCTGGCCAAGGGGACCTCTCCAGGAAGCTGGCGTTAGAGGAAAGCGGGAGACAGACCTGCTGGGCCTTGGCCAGGCCGTCCTGGAGAGCGATGGGCTCTGGCCTTTGGCCCCCCAGCACCCAAACTTTGCGGGCAGAGGTGTAGCTCAGGCCCGGCTTGCCCACCTCCTCCGGCCCCGAGCCTGCCTCTCCCTCCCTCCGCAGCCTCCCCGGCGGCGCCCCGGCCGCCAGCGCCTCCCCGGGAGCGGTGGGCAGGCTGCCGGGCGCATTGTCTCAGCGCGAGCTCGGGGCCCTGGGTCCCTGATGTGTGGGGCTGTCTGCGTGACAGATGGTGCTGCGGGCGCCTGCGAGGGCACGGGCGTCTCTGTTGTGCTGAAAGGAGCCCCCACGTTTGTTTAGCCGTTTCTTTATGACTTCAGAGAAGCACTGGGGGGACCAGGACGCCTTCGAGCTCCGGGCCTGCTCCCCTTCTGCCCTCGGGCCGGACCTTCTCCAGCCCTGGGTGCCCCACCCTGTGCCCCAGAAGAGTGCCAGGCCCGCGGGCCGGGTTCCTTCCCCTTCTCTCCTCCCTCCCCCCACCCCCCAGCCAGATGTGTTCATCCTTCGTCATTTGTCAACGAAGGAAATGAAGTGAGGAAGGCAGAATGATGGAGCTGGTCTATGGCCCGAGGCGCACAGAACCCGGGCCGGGCGGGGCCTCCTGCAGGCCGAGGTACCAGGTCCAGGATGCGGGCCTGCCTGGGAGAGAGGGCTCCCTCCGCGCGGGGCCAGCTCCGCCGCCGAGCGTGGCCTGGGGTGGGAAGGAGGCCGGCGGGGAGGCCCTCCCCGGCCCCCGCACCTATCAAAGGCCCTGACTCCTTTTATTGATTAGTTTTCTGATTCCCCCTCAGCTTCCAAAATGATGCTGAGTCCAGACCAAGCCGCCGACTCGGACCACCCTAGCTCGGCGCACTCGGATCCGGAGTCCCTGAGCGGCGCGGACGCCAAGGTGCTGGGCAGCGTGTCGGACCTGGAGCCGGTGGAGGAGGCCGAGGGCGACGGCAAGGGCGGCGGCCGGGCCGCGCTCTACCCGCACCCGCAGCAGCTGAGCCGCGAGGAGAAGCGCCGCCGCCGGCGCGCCACGGCCAAGTACAGGTCGGCTCACGCCACCCGCGAGCGCATCCGCGTGGAGGCCTTCAACCTGGCCTTTGCCGAGCTCCGCAAACTGCTGCCCACGCTGCCCCCGGACAAGAAGCTCTCCAAGATCGAGATCCTGCGCCTGGCCATCTGCTACATCTCTTATCTCAACCACGTCCTGGACGTGTAGGGGCGGGCGCTACGGAGGCTGCGGGTCTGGATGTCCGGGACCCCGGAGACTCGGGAGGTGGAAGAAGTTACCAACGTGTTGCTTCTCTGGGCTCAGCAGGGAGACAAGGGAAGGTTTCTTACTCTGGAAGGTGGGGTTGTCTGGCAAGCTGTGGGGCTGGCAGGGGGGGGTGGCTTTCTCAGGCCTGCGGGACCTCCGGGAGGCACTGGAGATGGGCCACCCCAGACCTCCCCTCCCTGAGTTAGAATCCCGTTAAGGGTGTTTCATTTAGCTCATTGGAGTCTGGGAGTTCTCCTTAGTTTATCTCCCACGAATCTTTTGAGTTTTGAAAAAATGAGGGCAGAAACTTTAGCAGATCTGGATTTTTCTAATTGGAAAATCACCAAACATCCGGAGGGGAAGAAGGGAATGTCCTCCAGGGTAGAGATTTTAGGCACTTGAAGGTGGAACAGGAAACTTTCTATTCAGATTCGAAAAGAAAGATTAGATTAGAATCCAAATGCATACTTGGTAAGCTCAAAAAGGTGCGATGAGAACAAACAGAGCCCAGAAGTATGAAAATCCATATTTAAATGGACAACTTACTATGTGACTGTGTTTTCAGGCAAAGTGCCCCTTTATATATCCAAAAACATCTATTCGTGACCTTAAACGCGTGGACCCATAGGTGCAGTTAGAAAAAGACAACCTATTTTTATTTATGTTAGAAGGAGTATTTTTTCCAAGACATTTATTTTTCAGAGTGGTGATAATTTTACTTTGGATACTCTGTGCCAATTAATTTATAGTCGAGTGTTTACACTTTTTCCTGTGGAATAATACTTTTTACGTGTTTGTGGAGATTATACTGTGGTCTTTCTTTTGGCTCTAATTATATTGCACTTGGCATAACAAAGTTCCCACTTCCCCCTGTTTCTAAACATATTTTATATATTAAGATGTTTGTTTGTGGTGAGATCAGCAACACTAACACTTCACTATTATAGTTTTTTAAAAAAGTAAGTGTTGTTATTCTTATCTGTAGCTATGTCTGAAAAGTACTTTACAAACTGTTTATAAGGCAAGTAGCTTCTTTGTGTGTGTATGTGTGATGTTTGTGCCTGGGATGATTTTAGGAAATTAAGTTATTTTCCTAAAAAAAAAAAAAAAAAGAATTCAGAAACTACTTTCCTCCGTGACAACCAAAAAGAAAAGTCTATAACCTGAAAATGTTTCATGTTCTCGGCTGTGAAACTCTTAAAACGAGGCGTGTATCTTAGAGATAAGGGGGAGGGGTGGGGAACCACACCTGCTATCCAAAGATTTTAGTCTTTTTCAGGGTTTTTTTGTGTCTCTGTTGCTTTATATAATGCAATATTTTGTAGTGAAAATAGATATAATCTGGTTTCTATCTGACGAGTTTTTCATATCTCATGAATGGTGCGCTGTTTTGCATATAAATAAAGGTATCAAGTAAAGCTCTCTCCTTTATTTTAAGCATCCTGTCAAAAAAAAAAAAAAAATGAGCATGCTGGCTGAGCATGAACTAGCGTCACAGACTGAATTCCTCAGGAAGGAACTAGGAAAGAAAACATAACAGAGCCTTAACATATTTATCATGGGATATGTGATGCTCTTCCTAAACTTGAGCACTCATCAGTCTCTAGCTAGGCTGCTGGCACAGATCACGTTTCCCTCCACGAGGAAAGATTATAGGGTTCCTGTGAAAATATTACTTGAATCAGAGATTCTTCTGCTCTGAACAGAAACTTAGTAACTAACCCAACCTCTTCCAATTAGCGCTGGGAACGTGAGGGAGTTTTGGTCCCTGCGCTGTCACGTGGCTATGTGGGAAGAAGGCCCTGATACGATGACTCCCAGCCTCATGACACTTATTAAGAACAAGGTGTCAAACGTCTAACCAGGACATGACACCTGCAAACAAGAGAAAAAAATTTAGCCCTGGGCCAACCTTGAGATACGAAGAATGTCTTCTACAAAAGCTAATAGTCTGACAATGTGAAATATTCTGTCTGCCGGCAGGAGACAAGTGGAACTTAAAAACCACATGCACACATTTAGAGAATTTTATGAAATATGGACTATATCACACCCAATCTGGTTGCGGAGTGAAAAATGCAATTAAGTGGATGCTCGGTGTTGTGCCTATAATACATGGGATGGGGATTGCGAGTGTTTTCCACATTCACCCAGGTATCTAAAGTGAGGTTCACAGAAACCTAGTCAGTCAGGCTTCCCATTCCTCACGGGGAGGTGCTCAGTAGGGATGCACACTTAATTTCAGGTTTTACTGTGAAGATGATGGCTGGAGTGCTGGTAGGGGTTTATTTTAGATCCATCTGCCTACCTAGCAGCCTCCACAGTCGGTGCTACCTGTGAACCTGTGCTGTGCTCATGCCACCAAAACACCCTGCGCCAATCACTCACTCTCCATCCCCCACTGGCAACACCCTGGTCCCTTTCCACAGCTTGCTCTCTCCCTAGGCAGACCTGGGGCCTCAGTTCCTTCTGCTGCTGCTCTCACCTCCTCCTCTCTGTCCCGGCTGCTCAGATGGCCAGGGCATCACTGCTCCCCAGAAAACCCTAGCCCCACCTGGCCCAGCTGACAAGGCCACCTGTGCTGGAAACCTCCACGCCCGGAGTCTGCCTGACTTCTGCCACTGAGGGAAACATCCAGAGAAGAGAAGCGAAAGTCCTCAGCAAGGGAGGGGCAGCAGCTGAGAGTGAGGGTGGCAGGATGGGTCCAGAAAGGAAGAGCAGGCTGAAGACAGGGCGAGTGGGTCTGAGAGAAAGGAGGCTGCAGAGAGGTGGAAGGCTGGGCGGGAAACACCTGCTTCCTACGTGAACCCTGTGCGTGGGGCTTCCTCCAGTGGCCCTGCCCCAAGAACAGGTGTCCCCAGACTGCTCTGACCTGGTAAGGACAGAGGTGACCTCTGTGATGCTGAGCCTTATCCAGTCCCCACCCCTGCTATCCACCTCTGGACCTGGATTTCCACCCACTGAGGTTTGGGTAGGCAGGAGCTAAGGAGGAGGGGATACAGACTGGAGTGCATACACAGCTGATACCTTTTCCCAGAAGGGCTATCTCCTTCATTTTTTGGTAGTAGTGAGGATATTGAGAGCTAACATGTATGAGTGTGTGCTCCATGCTTACTGATTACATGCTTTCCATGAATTATCTCACTGAGTTCACACAACCCAATGAGGTAGGTACTTTTCTTTCCATATTAAATGGAAACTTAGGCTCAGAGAGAGTTATAACTTGCCCAGGGTCACGAAGCCACATATGTGGGTTTATCAATGTCCTTACACTCTACCGATTTCACTTGCTCCAGAGGCAGCTGTGCCATGCACAACCCTACCCCTTGATCCCTGCACCCCATCTCCCCACCCAGGTGCTTATGGGAGCTTCAGCGCTGACCACCCGACTGGGGATACATGTGGGGGGGACTGAGCCTTTGCTCTGCTTGCCAGGTCAAGTGCATAGAAGTCACTGCAGTCCCTCCTCAGGGACATGGGACTAGCCCGCCACTGTCCACAGCATGACTGCTCATCAGCACACGGGTGGGTCTGGCTCCACAGTCCCCCCACCCACACCCTGTAGCACCTGGAGGTCGGTCCTCACACTGCCTCAAGGACCATCTTTGAAAGTTAGCATGTCACCCCGCCTGAAAACATTCTCGATTCCTCAGTGTCTATAAAACACACACACACACACACACACACTCCTGTTCTTTCTCTGGGCACAGAAATCTTTCAGAATCTTGTTCTACACACCCTCCAGCATCATTTCAGCCTCTCTCCCTGAGTTCCTGCCAAATTCCGATTTCCTCACTTCCCTGCAGATGCCTGCTCCTTTATTATTTTTTAAATCCTCACCTGGGGATATATTTATTGATTTTAGAGAGAGAGAAAACATTTATCGGTTGCCTCCCATACATGCCACGACCAGGGATGGGACACACAACCTCGGTATGTGCCCTAACTGGGAATCCAACCCGAAAACTTCCAGTATATGGGAAGACGCTCCGACCAACTGAGCTACCCAGCCAGGGTGCTGCCTGCTCCTGGATAACCTGTGCCTTCTCACTTGCTGTCCCTCCACCTCGTATGCTGTCCTCCAGCCTGAATTTCTGCCCTGAAAGTTTCCATTATTCCATTGTCACCCAATTCAAATGTAACGGCTTTATGAAGTTTCCCTCAATTTCTTTGGGCGGTGTTAGCTGCTCTGCCCCTAGGCCCATACAAACATCACGAGGCCAGAAAGGATCCGCTTCTCCCATCCCTGTGTGTGACACCCAGGAGTCTGGGTCCAGCTTCACGCCGTGGCACTAACCCATCTTAAACGTGTGATGCTGAACAAGTTACGTCAGCCTCCAGTTTTCACATGAGTGGGAGGGGACCATATAGGTACCTATCTCATGTGCTTTCACATGAGTGGGAGGGGACCATATAGGTACCTATCTCATGTGCTTTCACATGAGTGGGAGGGGACCATATAGGTATCTATCTCATGTGCTTGCTGTGAGGTTCCCAGGGGATAATGGAGAGCAGCGGTCGCCAACCGATGGCCCGTGGACCACTGGTGGCCCGTGAGGTCCGAAAGGTTGGTGACCGCTGACGTAGAGTGCTGGCCAGAACAGAGAGACTATAACAAGTGTTCAATAAATAGAGCTATTATTATTACCTTCGTATAGTGTGCATAGGAGGAGCCACAAATAATAATGCAGCGATAATTCATTGACATATTAGTGATTCGTGGTCTCCACCAATGGTATTCATCGGCATGTGACACATTATTAGCTCTAGAGAAAGTCAGTAAATAGTCTTTGTCCTGTAAGACAGAACACATTATAGGTAAGTAATAGTAATCGGTGGAATAAACCATAAACACACATATAAAGTCAGAAAGCCCCTCTCCACTCCATGTGGGAAGCCTGACCTATACCTGCTCTCTCTTCACCTTGGTTTTCCCAGAGAACTGAGGCCGGGGACAGGCA